CCCCCCCACACACACACACACACACACACACACCTATTGTCTTAGGAAAGGGAGCTCAAGGTATACATCAGGGAGTATGGCGCCAGCATTATTTTTGATGAGACTGATGTCTTCTTTTGATGTCTTCTTGATGTGGATGGCTACCAGGACTTTCTTGTAATTTTCCTGTGGTTCACTGTCAGTCACCTTGATTTTATCAATTATGGGCCCATGTGATACTTTGTGTTTGGATTGTTCCTCATGCTGGCTTAATGCTGACTTCCTGTCTCTATTGTTGACCGATTTTTGGCGTTTGGTTATTCTGTCCACCACTAATCTTCCCTTTTCACTTATATACATCTCACCACACCCCTCACATTCCATTTCATAGACAACAACATGTTGTTGTTTAATGCGTCTTTGGGACATACAACTGCTTTGCTGTACAAGTTGATGTTGTATTTGTTAAATTTTTGTTGTAAGCTTTCCTAGACTCCCCTGGTGTAGAGTGATATTGACTTGTTAGTACCACAGCCGCATACGCTGGCAGTACTCATGGTTTTAGTCCAGACCCATCTCGTAGGGCTCCATTTGCCCTGCAAGCTATACAGAGTGGTGTGGGATACAAGTCTTCGTTACCACTTCTCCTCCTAGACTGCAAGGACCTGTATCCCCATCTCTTAGATTTAGGTTGCATATAATCTCAACTTGAACCCCATTTTTTTTTTGTCTCAGTTGGAGCATTGGCCAGGCCACTGTTTCACAAAGAATCTTAAATCTGTAGTTGACTAGCTCCAGCTGAGTGACCTAGCTAGGTCGACTCCCTGCAGTCAACTAGGAGTGTCTCACAAAGAATCTAAAGTCTTAGCTCGATATGCTTACCGTAGTTTCACAAGACATGATGTTTCATGGCCTCTTTCGGTTGAGAACGATCATTTATCAACAATATAAGTCAGTCAAAACATAAAGTTTGTTTTTGAACTTTATTGATTAGTTTAACTTTAATACAACTACAAAGTAACAGTAAAACATTATCTTGTCTTGGAACACTGCTGTCGGACGTCTAGCGGTCAAAAAACACAAACAAACCCGCGATCGACTGGGTGAAGATGCATTTTATTTTTTCAGTAAATATTCAATGTTAGTGCTATTCAAGGATATTATAACACAATATCTTGAACGAGGTATGTTCTTTCCAAATTTTTGTTGTTTATGCTCTCATTTACTGAGTTTTATTTGAGCTTGCTGACTTAAGTCTCCTCCCAAGGAGGCCAGACATCGTCGACTAGCAGCTAAGAAAAAATTGACGTAAGGGACCTTTTAGATTCTTTGTGAAACAGGACTTAGTGACGCAAGGACTTAATTACGTTGGTAGCCAAGCTTTTAGTCTGGGAACCCAACTTAAAGAAATACAGAAGTGGAAACATTTTTTTTATGTAGTCAGACGTAGTAATTTTCAAATATTCGCGTTCCGGAAATCCCATTTCCGAGTGATAGCCTGATGCAGTGTAATTGACGATAATGCAAAACAACTCACCTGAACTCGACTGCATAAAACTTGCTGAAACAGAAATGACGTAATGTATTTGGGTGACTCGTTTCACCGCCATGCTGCTGAATTGTTTGGAAGCTTGAAGCTGGTTGTATTTCTCATCATTCTAACTGAAGAACATGTTGAAGAGAGGCAAAGGGCGCTATTGTGTGGCGCATGGAGGCAACAGTAGCTCTATTGTTTTGTAGCTCTATTGTTTTCATGGCATATATGTATGTCCGACCTGCAGACATAATTTACATTACTTATTTAATTCATAATGTTACATTTTGCTCCTGTTCCTGAAGTATTTTGTATTTTAATTCTTATATTTTATTACTTACCACTGTAAGGAAGTAAATCTGGAACTTGTAATCTTGAAGTGCCACCAGTGCCACCACCATCTATCTCGTCTTCAGAGTGTGACTGAAAGGTTTCAAATTGGTACGGAAGTACCGACTGTTTCAAGCTTCGGATGCTTGCTGTGCTCGCCTCTTCATTTTCATCATCTACGTCATCCAGTTCATAGTCCGACACGTGAATCTCCATATCCAACTCAGTCGCAGACATTGTTGTCCAATTTCGTGACGTCACCTCGAAGTGACCTCGATCTCGACTATTTCCAGCCTTCCTCCATACGAGCGGTTTTCATAGGTGAGAACCGGTGCATTCAATGCGCTATAAATAGGTCACTAGTGTACGTATAGAAGTTGCGCTTTCGGCGAGTCATATTTCAGACAATACACTATTGGACTACATAAAAAAACGTTTCCACTTCTTATTTTTTTGGGGAATTTTTTGCAAAAAAAATTATTTCTGCTGATTTTCAGAAACCACACAGGTCTAACCTATAATATTGTGGACAGTCATATTTCATCTTTTAACAAATCTACGTTAACAATTTTTAGTTTTTAAACATGTTGAAAATTTTATTAACAATAAAAACAAACAAACAGTGAGTTTGGGGTCATACTTACAGGAGAAGTGGCAATTAGATGCCAAAACTGAAACTCTAATTCTGGAACTGTAATAAATATCTGTTAATGTGCATGCCCAAGCTGAATAGTAAAATTGAAAAATTCTGATGATTACAGTTTGTATCAACATGGTTTTATTCTTCAGAGGCTGCCAAACTAAATGAAGATGAAGAAGGGTCAGAAGCCAGACTTAATCTCATGGTGCCTCTATTGGCGAAAAAAAAGATCCCTGATGGATTTCAGGTGACTTAAAAACTTTAAAGATTTCTGCATTTTTATGGGATTATCTTTTACTGAAATTTAAGATATATTTTTATGTACAGACACAGGTGTAGTTAAGCATCATGTAATACTGCATCAAAATTGAAGAAATCCTGTTTTTGGCACTGCCTCCATAGTGACCATTAAAGGAAAAACCATGTCGCTTACTCTTCTCACACTTGCAGGAAAGAAAAATAGAACTAAAATACAGCTTCAGTTGGAAAATCTGTCTTATTGGTTAATTTTTCTGGAAATATACAGTTTTTTTGTGTAAATATTGAAATTTTCACATATCAGCATTTTCATAGTTTGACTTTAAAATTTCATTGACTTGAAGACCTGTGCTAGCCATATTTTCTGTATATCCATGATTCTTTCATTTTATTATTAAAAATTGATGGTCATAATGCTGTTAAGCATTATGTAATCAGGTGTTGAAACAAAAAGGGGTCACTGATTCTGTGGGACTAGTGACTTTGCTGTGTTACTAGTCCCAGCTAATTTTTAGTGTTCCTCGTGTAGTGGTATGCATTTCAGCAATTACGGTAATTCTCCAATCTATACGAACGCCGCAATAATTACGAACGAAACGTTTTTTCTCCGAATCTGAATTTTTTGTCTCTGTTCTGTACAAACGATCGCTAAACTCACCTTGGGCACAATTTAAATTTTCCAAACGCAAGAAAGCGTGTCCAATTGAAACTCTCCCCATGATTCGTCAAAGCGAGTTTTCAGACCACCGTTCCAAACAAAGGAACTTCCACTTGACAGGAGAGATTGTGCTGTTTTTGAATGAGACGATAGGAGGACTCAACCTGCCCGCCGGCAGCTGCAGGCCAGTTTTAAAACCCTATTGTTATTTAGAAATTAAATTACTTACTGTTTATCATCATTTCTTAACTATCGCCGGCCGACTGGTTCATCAACATCCACCATCAGTGTTTCACCGATAACTGGTTTCCAGTAAAATCTATAAACGTGAAACCCACGCACAACAGAAGAGTATGAGAAATCCATAGTCAATGATCGAGTTTTTCATTTGTTTTTGGTAATCATCAGGAAATTAAATTTTTAAAGAGGAGTTCTGTCTTGTATTGTATTTATTTTTCTAATTTGAGTTGTGATAAAGTTCATGCTTTTTTTTTTTTTTTGTTTTTCCTTGTTAAAGACCTTGTCTCATGAACAACTATTAGGTAAACCTTACTGATATTGGTGATTGTGAAAAATAAAGGTGCCGTATGACTTAATACAAATTTGCCTGCAGTTCTTCTGCATTTTTTCTAATTAAGTTTACATTGATTGCATGCAAATTAATATGCTGTAAGAGACTTTCATAAATAGACTTGAATTGAGCTGATGGTATTTTTATATCAAGTATAATCGTTTATTAACGTCAGTTTCAAGTATTTTGTTTTGGCGGAAGAAATTCATGTAGGCCTAATGGGGGGGGGGGGGGGGTGACATTATTAATATTGCAAATTTTCTATATGTGAAATCATATTAAAAGTAAACATGCAATAAATAAAATATGCATACTGTATCTCCACGTAAGCAGTTGCATTGGTATGTATGTCTTTAAACATTATGTAATATAATTTTATGCACTTTCATCATTTTTCAAATATTTTGATTTTCATTATGTGAATTTGAACTCTCTTGGTCCTGAAACTGTAATCTTATTGCAGGGGCAGATTGAGACCATCTTCTGGACATCTGTGTCTGTACATAATGATACCTGGTGAATGCTTGCCAAATTATCCCAAAAATTTTTACTTTCACTCATTAAAATGGTTTTTACATTTGCAGTCACAAACACGCAACTCCAAGTTGTAAACGGCAATTAGGCTGCGTTCACATGAAAAATCTATTTTCTAAAAATCTAAAAATCTATTTGCGGTATCTTGTGATCGTGGTCTGTGCCCTGAATACCCCACAGCATAATTACTGGCAGCGGGAGCCAGTTACTTCCAAAACTGTAATTAATTCTCGGCGCTGCCAGTACATTTGATACATTGTTTTGAATACATAATCACAAGGCATGAAATGAATGTACTTTTAAAACAGATATGTTATAGTAACAATGTTGAATAGAGATAACTTAGCAATTAATGTTGTTTGAAAGTTTGTTAGTCAGATTATTCAGTTGTTGTTAGAATAAATTGTGATATTTACTACAGGAAAATATGTCTGTTAGACTGGTATGGGGTAAATTGGATGTTGGGAATCGATATTTCTTTTAGAAAAATTCCCATTTTTCCTATACTTTTGCAATGTAATTCCTATTTTTTCCTATTTAAAATTTTTTTTCTTATTTTCCTATTTTCTGGAGCTCCGTTATAACTTGACGCCATGTACATTTCACCATGAACTGCACTTTTCAAATTTTCCCAACCTTACACCTCCATAACTGGCTGAGATACACCCATAGTTACTTTTGAAGTTCACCTTCATACGTACGGCACCTTTCCCTGCAATACATAGAAATGCATACATACATGTGGGCATGCATGCATACATAGATACAATTGTCCATACGAACCTACATTAATGTTACAATATTTGATTTATTTTAGGCAGATGCTGCAGACTATGAGCAAATGCCAATAGAAGAATATGGCCTTGCCATGTTAAGGGGAATGGGATGGAAGGAGGGAGAAGGGATTGGGAAAAATAAACAGTGAGTAGTTGCTATATGCATCCCTTGTCCATCAGTATAATACTAGCCTTCTCCTGTCCATCATTCTAATACCGTGCTGATAATTCATTCAGTTTTAATTTGACGCAGTTTTGAAATCTCTTAACTGGATGTAAGATTATGTCTAATTGAAGACATTGTGTCTTCCTTAACCCCATAACTATTGTTACAGCACCGGTGCAGTAGATTTTCTATAGGCCCAATACCACACCGGTGCGTATCTTTGAATGCATGGCTTCTGTACTCTATTGCATCGTGAGTCATGAAATGATATATAGTTGAACAACCGGATATGTTTCCTGTTTCTCACTGTTGCCATTTTTAAAGGACGATAGACATATATATGAGGGAGAAAATGGCGATTTTCTAGACTTGGTTCAGGCCTACCCAACTACCAGACGCGGCACCTACGGATCCTGAATAAACCGGTATATCAGACCACACTACCCGTTTTCAAGGTGTGTGTCAGATCGCATTACGGAGTATCAGCCACTTCACCCATTTTGCCTGGCGCGCGATGTGATAGCGATGATCCTAAGCGGGGTTGGCAAGTAGTGCACCGGATGACAGGAAGGCCTACAAAATTTGTGATGGGGTATGATACTCCATAGAATATTGTCAGCCCGACTGCCTCATTGGTGGGTCAAGGGCCGGCGGCCGGCAATTTTCAGCATGTCTGAACAGGCATTGTTTACCTCAGTTTAATAAAAGTATGCAAGACAGGGTGTCAGCCGTTTAATAAAATAAATTGAATTTCACAAATAACATGGACCTCTTATGGAATAATCAACAGTATTTAATATCTTAATATATGTATTTAATGTCAGTGCCGTTATTTAATCATTATGTAGTGAAAGTGGGTAATGTTTCCATTCACACCTTTGGCTCTTGGTGATCCTCGGAGTGACCCGTAGGAGTCCAGCGAATAGGTTTTTGTCGACCGGTATTTCATAAAGTCACCATGTGAGTCCCTCTCAAGCTCTATGAAGAGCATATAGTACTGTCCAAAGAGTCTTCTCCTCTCTAACAAAGGTCTTACCCAGAATCACCTAGCTCTTGGATGTCTCTGTTTCTATCGCTGTTTGATTAAGGCCATCAAATCTAGGTCATGCTCATGTTCAGCAGTCTGAAGCTGGGCCAGGAGATTCAACGCCAGCATTCTCTGTGATGGGACTGGGCTCACCATCTTTGAATACCGCTGCTGATATAATGATCTCTTCAAACATGCACTGTTTTTATACCCTCTCAAAAAACATCTAAACATGCACAACTCGCATAAGGAGGACTAGCATCAAGCATAGGAAGTCAGCAAGGCTGCCTTATGTCCACTTGCATTGTTCTTGCGTTAACCTTACTCTTAGAATGGATAACGTACATGGTGCACGATGCTTGTACTTCGCATGCACTTTGCATGCATGGAGCGCGTGGAACACGTGCGAAAGCCCATGCGGAGGCTGTGCTTCTCACGTACTTTCCATGCACTTTCTCCTTGCGCACTCCTTGCAATCACCAATTACTTGATTCCTTCCCTGCGATCTAGCTACATCCTAGCCGGACGCAAGGAACCTAATAAAACAGTGCGTCCAAAACGTAGTTGGGACCCAGGCTTTAGTTGGGCATGTTTTCTGAAGAATATGCTCCGTTCAGGCCATTCCAACGGATTGACGCAAAACCTTTCATGATCAGTGCTGCCCACTTCTAGGCCATTTATTGGTATAAAAGTTAATTGGAAAAAATGTTCACTATTCAACAGTAGCTACACACACACACTCACTTACACACACACACACACACACACACACACACACACACTTTTTTGGCATGAAATGTTCTGCCTGTGCCATAGCTAATTTTAATTGTTTAATGGGGGCCCTTTCAACAGGCTGTCCTGCTCCAACATCTCTGGCATGTTTTCTGGCTTCTTTAAAGTTGTGTCTTATCAAGCCATGTATAAATTTCTGAAATTAAAAGCAGGAATATAATAACAGCAACAACCACAAAACACTCACATTAGGTCACTCAATTTAGGTGGCGCAAGCTCATATAAGGTGGCGCAGCATTGAGATAAGGTGGCGCTCCACTACCTAAAAACAGGTCATGAGAAACTCTGGCATTATCTACTGTGCATGATTAAAATTTGATGGTGACTTTGCAGTATCCTATTTTGTGAATTATTTTCTGCTTTTTGTCTTTATATTTGGCAGCTTTGCTGTCTATTTTTTTGCGATGCATTTGTATAAAATTGCTTGAGCTAACGAAATCAATGTTTGAGGCGGGGGGGGGGGGGAGTTAAAAACAGACAGTGACTGAAGATATGAAAGGTTGAGTTGTTAAACTGATTTGTTTGAGATTCTTTCTTTATAATAAATGCAGAAGTAAAGATTGTTTCAGATTTTGAGTCATCAGAATGTGTTTGATGAAGTAATCAGAAATTGTACTATTCTATCTAAGCCCCACTCAGAATGAAGTTTTCTGAATTAGATATGAATAGGACAGCGTATTTTATAACATGTTTGCACATTTTTGTTTAGGTTACATTGATTTCATGGTATTTTTAAAGGCAATAAATGAAGAATTGCATTGCGTCAACCAAGGTTTTAGTTTCTGCAGAACTGTGTGTATGAACAAATTGAATCATACCAATGGCAGTTAACATGGGTGTCTTCTGAGAAGTGAATGTGAAATTGTCTGTACTTTTGACACAAATGCCCAGAGGATAGAATTGATACCTAGAATTAATTTCTTGATTGTGTTGCAAGAGTATCCTACAGAAGCAAACACCTTGTTAAAGCAACTGTTTTGCCAGTGATTGACGTCAGTGAGGCAGAATTAGCTCAGTTCACTGCTGCTAACACAAATGGGACAAGTGTGCTACCTCATGTTGAGCATACAGGATTGCTAAATAAAATAACCCAGCACAAGTGTCCTACCTGTGGGCTGCTGTGTTTGCGAGATGATGCATCAGTAAGGCAGCAGAAAAAAGTTGAAGTGATAATCATTACCAGGCATACTGATGTCTTGTATGTTGGTTATACACTGTCATGACTCTAAGGTCTTAGTTGAGATAGTGTGAAGCTATTTATTATGCAGAGCAAACAAAATGTCACGTGGTAAAACATGTGCTTAGATGTTGAAGTAAGAGAGAGTAGAAAAACTGTATGGAACTCAAAGGGTTTGAAAAACTGAGACAGATTTATTCCCAACTTTTAAAGTGTTTCAAATTATTCTCAGTATTTCTGTGATCATGGAATTATAATTGGGATGGCAATGAAACACCTGGAGGGCTATTTTTTGCTGTGTTATGGGGCTGGACAAAGGATACGGGTTACAGGCCAAAATGATGGGGGAGGGGGGGGGGGAGATCCAAAGAGTAAGTATAATCTGTTAACTTGCCAGAACATGTAAGAACAAACAGGTACAAACCAGGTTGAAGATTGCTCAACTTTCTTGTTGGTGAAAGGAGAGAGTTTATTTTAGCGTAGTACAATATAGTTGAGAGTGACAATGATGTCATAGAGACAGAGGACGGTGTAAATTAGTTTTTTATTCTGAAAAAATAGCAAATGCTGTTGATAAGGGTGTCTCTTTTTCAAGGGGAAAGTCTTAATTTTCCTGAACTGAACTGAAAAAGTGCCACAATAAAAAAGTAAATAAAAACCTTGACCACCTATTACACTTATATACATGAATGCACTATATCAAACTACATTGACAGTATGCATGGTTTTAGTCCTGACCCGTCTCATCTGCCCCATCCATTGGGTCCTCCTAGACTGCCAGGGCCTGTGTCCCCATCTCTAGGATTTAGGTCACATATAATGTCAACTCAATCCACCTAAATTTTGGGCTCTGTCAATGCACTGTTCTAAGTATGCCGTTCATTACAGTGCACTGGTCCAAATTTTAGAAAATTTGATATCTAAATATCTCCCAAACCGAAGGAATTATGCTAAAAGTTACTATAGAAATCTGACCAAAAGTCTTATATGGAGTTTCCAAATATGCCCATTGATTTGACCTTTGGCCTTTATTTCAAGATCAACATTCCACAATTTTTAAAAATGGGAATTTTCGTTTCATTCTTTTAAGGCAATGAAACGATAGACCACCGTAGGTATTGGACTATATTGAACTTAATAATAAAATGGCATCATTTCAAATACTAACATGCATTAAACTTGTATTTATGGCAAGGTGTATTGAACATGGTGAAATGAACATGGCAAAATGAACAGCTTTCATGGGTTTGGCTTCTGGGTGTCAACTACATACTTTTGCTCTGAACTTGGCTCTGTGTAGCGCAGTTAAACAGGAGAGTGGCCTTGAATCTGGTGTAGGAATGGATGTTTGCCACATGCATAATACCTGTATTAAAAAATTATACCAGTATATTTGTATGCATATTGAGGGACATCCCAGAATTCCACACGTAGGGGAGAAATGTTGAGAAGTTGAGATGAAAAAAAATGCTTCTCTTTTTTTTCTTAAGTGATCTTAAAAACCTATCATTGGATCTTTATTTTCTCAACTGTTTCGTGTGAGGTTTGCCTTGCGGTTCAAGAGAAAATAGGCAAAGTTTCAGAGAAAATCCATTTTTATGGTATATAAAATTCTATATCGGTAAGACGCTCTTTAAGTATTATTGCATCAGAATTGACAGTAACCTATTTTGTGCATCATCATTTCTGCTTGTTGTCTGTACATTTGACAGCTTTGCTGCCTTGTTTTTACTTGTCATGAGTCAAGATTTATTTTTAACCATTTGCCATAAATAGTTTAAAAACTTACCACTACATATTTCATTTATCATAATTCAGTTATTATGTTGTCAGCACATGGAAATCCTGGAAAAGGAAAGTGTTTTATTTAACTGCATGCATTTCACATTTATTAGAAGGCATACATTTGTACATTTCAGAATAGTGACTCCAGTGGATGCCATTGTGCGCCCTAAGGGGATGGGCCTGGGTGCTGATCACAGCCAGATTTTACAAATGCCTGGAGGGAAAGAAAAAAAGAGAAAACCTGGAGATGCAAAAGAAGAGGAAGAAAAACTGGCTTATGTGAAGGGAGCTGGTGGGGTTGTCTTATGGGGACCACATAAAGAATTGTATGGAAAGGTAATTTAAAAATTTAATCTTTCCTAATGTACTTATATTGAAATTATTGCATGAAGGTTGCAAAGCATCTTTTTCTTCTTTTTGTCTTTTGTCACTAACCATGGACAGCAGGGTAGTTCTAGACACTTTTTCTGATAGTCTACCAAATCAGTTATTATAGGTGCCTATGTGCATTTCATTTAGTTACTTATTATTTTTAAAACTTGTGGAGGTGATTCATAGGACTGAAATACAGCTTGAGTATGATAATACTGATTATCACAATCCACCTTTTATCAGGGCCACCAATTAAAAATGAGCACTTTTCTTCAACGTGACCCTCTCTTTTGGAAGTCTGGAAGCAATTATTTCTGCAGATGACATTGTATTCACTCTGCAGTAGCTTGGCTCAGAGACCATGTGCTTAAAACTTGTTATGCAACCTTCGCTTCTCTGTCTGGTAACCATGTCACATGGTTTGCACACTTGGCTGTCACAGATGTTGAACATAATATATAAGGAATCTGAGGTGCATTTCTTAGTTTGTCGAAGGCTTCGAAGGCGTTGTAAGTCAAAAGTCCCTTTTTTCATGGGGATTCCCCCCCTCCCCCTCAAAAGAAAAAAAAAATGCTTGAATGTCCTTTTGGTAGATTCTACACTTCCACTTGCCAATCCTGCACTGGGAAAATAATCATACACATGCTTTCATTTTGTCACATTTATAACATAATGATAGGAGGAGAGAAAAAGAATAGGTGCCAGTCAGATTCCAAATGCCTATGCATGTGGTTGCAGACTGGTCTGGTAATTTGAAAGAACAAAATTAACTTAAATTGAAAATGGACTTATTACTGGTATGTAAATTATTTTCAACTGAAAAGTCTAAAAGTGGCATGGAAATAATTACACCTGCAAAAAAAAAAAAAAAAAAAGCAAATTTCAAGCATTTTGGAGAAATGTTTTCTGTGATTTTTGTTTCATTGACATCTAAAGGTTACAGTGGAGATCAGTTAAGGCAAATCATGCAATTAAAGACCTTAAAAATGACCTGGCTCGCAGTTATTATTGGAAAGTCTTTTATTTTCCTCCTTTAACTTATTTTGGGATATATTAATTGAATGCCATCGATGCTTGGGCATTTTTAAATGCTCAGAAGTTTGAGGAATTTTAGGGGGACTACAGTCTGAGCAGTATAAAATCTGCAGCTGGCAAAGGCACGAAATGGGTTTTAGGTTAAAAAAAGTTTACAACTTTTTCACATATTAATATTTTCAAGGAGGGTCTTTAAACATCCATGGGCCTTCAGCCCTTTGCTTCTTAAATTTTCTAACTGCCCATGTTACCTGTGGTGCCTATTAAAAATGGAAGTGATTAGTGTTAAACATTATGTTAAATTACATTAAAATTGAGAAAAAAACTATGTAGTGCATTGCCACATTACTTACAGGAATGATTCTTATACCTGAAATAAAGCCCGTGTTGCAAAACAATCTGGAGTAACATTTTTTTCGAAAGTAATTTTTTGTGAATTAAAACTTTAAACATACTGACATTTGCAGTATGTGATATTCAAATCTCCACTGGCCCTGAAGCGCTTTACTCGTTGCATTTTTTATATGTCCTTGTTACTTTTAACACAGGTGGTGATAATGCACTATTGAAAAATACCTATTTTGTGCGCTACCACCATAAGCAGATTAAAGAAAAACTATGTTACTTATTATGCAAGAAATTGAAAGACTTTCTTTGGAATTAAATATATCATTATTTGGAAAACCAGCAAAAGCTATGCAGTTTTTTGTGTGAAATGTTCCTTTTCACTGTTCATTTTTGGATATATACGCTAGTGACAGGATGGTTAACGGGTTAGTTACAAGCCAGTGGTACTTTCTGAAAAATCAGTGGCAAATGCTGTAGCTGAATTTGACAGCAGTACACATCTGAGAAGGAACAACTTGAGAGAATAAGATGCAAAACCTATGGTATCCTCCCATATTCTGCTGCCTATTAGTGTCAAATATCAGTAAAACCTTACCAGATTTAGAAACAACGACTGTTTTGTGAGATCACAAACACATGTTGTATTCTAAATTTAAACCTTCAAAAGCAAAGAGGAAATGGGGCATCTCTGGTAGAGCCTTGATAGCTGTCAAGTTTTAGAAAGGCATGTGGTTTGTGAAATTATTCAGTAATATAAAAGCATGCAAGCTACGGTATTCCCTGACACAGTTTTTGCTTCTGTAAAAAGGAGTTCGACTAAGCTATATATATTCACTTCTGACCTCAAAATGCAATGTATAAAATAAATGAGCAAAAATGTTTATCAGCTTGGTAGTTAGATCATAAATGAAAATTATCAAACACAAGCCGAAATATTTTCATACCGTTAGCTTACGACCAACCTGGGCAAAGGCCTTCATCAGACTGATGTGAGTAGATGGGGGAGGGGGGGGGTCGATCTACCTGACATTTATAAGAGGGTCCTGGCTGCTATACCAATACACAACAGTTGTTATCCCTTTAATTCAAACTCAAAAACAGTATAAAAGATAATCTCAAAGATACAAAAAATGTTGATTTAATTGAATCAGTTTATGTATGTTGAAAGTTGACCAAAATAGAAGTAATTGCATATGTTGAATTCCGCAGTCCATTGTTGCTCATTGATACTGTTATTTCCTAGCGGGGGTCTTAGCACCAAATTTTCCATGGCACTTAAATAAATAGCTATTTTTGTCAGATTTACTGCATTGTTCACCTGTTAGTTGTTAATTCATGGGGAATATTCTGAAAGTGCCTGAATTCACACTAGCAAAAATGGCCTTTTCTTAAGTGATCTCTATAATTTGATATTAATTATTCTCTCACCACAGAGACTGCTATACTAGTAGTCTGTTACAGAATTATTGTATCAACCCCATTATCATTGTATCAACCCTGTTCCCATACCTAGATTGATTTAGCAGGATTGACCCATCTGCAAGGGGTTTCTTACAATTGCTTTCAGCTTAAGCGACTCTGAAGTCTGGCACACCTACTGGGGGTTATAAACTATCGTTTAGCAGCTCCACTAGGCTTGCCAGTCTTCTAAGCTGCTTAAGCTGAAAGCAACTTAGCGAGAAACCCCTTGGAGATGGGTCGATCCTGTTAGATTAATCTAGGTGTGGGAATGGGGTCTCGGAACTTGTAGGAATTGATTTGATCAAAAGGAAAGCATTACCTGCCAGATGTAATTTGTACTTGTCAGGTGTTGAATAGCCCATCCCTGTCAGTGTTTTGTAATTCAAGGTCAAGCATAATGAAATGTGAAATAACTATTCACCATGAACTGAACTTTGCATATTTTCCCTTATAACTCCAAAACTGGCAGAGATACGCCCATAGTCACTATTGAAAATAAATTGCTTTTTCTTCCCAAACTTTTTATTGCTTGCAAGCCCTATACATGGTCTATCTGAAGGTGTTTACAACATATCCTACCTACTGTTTGGTTTCATCCAGAACAGACCTTTCTTTAAATTCTTCAAAATCCCCCCCCCCCAGTTACGAGCATGACAAATCAATCAGCGAGGACAAGTCTGTTAAATTAACACAAATTATATATCTATAAGCACTATGATTGTCATCAGGGACAAAGGAAATGACAAGTACATTTCGCTTCCTGATTACATCTTCAGTTATTTGTTTCTTACTCATTGACAAGAGCTATTGAAAGGACAACAATTGACAAAGGGCTGAGGCATACAGCATCTATTTCACTGGCTTGAAAATTTACCGAGTCTTGGCGACGATGTGGTTGAACAATTGGAACAAGAAAAAAATTCCATCGCATGATTTTGACATTTGGACTAAATGTTTGAGTCCAGAAAAAATTAATTTTATAATATAATTTTTTTGGTCGGATTGATTGGCAGATTACAATATTGAACTTGAATAGGAAATCATATATTGACAGTCTTCCTATGACCTTGAATTTGACCTTTGACTTACTTTTTACCATGAACTGAACTTGGCAAATTTCCTGACCTTGTATCTACAAAACTGACAGAGATATGCCTATATTTACAATTGAACTTGAATAGGAACTCATATATTGACAGTCTACCTGGGACCTTGAATTTGAACTTCGGCCATGAACCACACTTAGCTTATATTCAAGCTTTTATATTTACTATTGAACTTGGATGGAAAGTCTTATATTCACAATTTTCTCGCAACCTTGGATTTGACCTTTTACTTTTCCCCAGGAATTTTTTATAAATTGTAATTTTCTATTAAAAAAAAAATAAATAACTAAAATAAAAAAATGAGAACTCTAGTTTATTGCATTTCATAAAGCTTGTTAAGCACAATACTATAGGTGGTATCTTTTTTCCATAGGAATGCGCTTACTCCAGCTGGTTGTACAATATCTGGAGATAGTATCACCTCTCTGATCTCTAGTTGAATAATTAGATGCAGAAAAAAACTCTTTTTTGGTATCTGGATGATGATAAAGGCTTACAATACCCTTAATGGAAATATACAGAACATTTCTAAAATTTTTAAACCACAGGAAGCCACTTTTTGCATAATGAGCTCAGCTTGGGGCACAAACAAGAAGTGAATTATGTCTTTTTCTGTGCTTTATTCTCTTTTGTTTTATGATAAATGGCAGAAACTTTTTCTAGGAAGAAAGGGAACTTAGCACAATAACAATAGTCTTTGCAGGGAAACAAGCAAGCAGTTATGTTTTTAAGACTGTTGTTGAATAATGATCCTTATTTGTTGTATTTTCATCAAAAAAGTAGTTTGCATGTAAGTTGCACATAAAAAAAGAAGTCTTGGAGATATTGTGCTGGCCCCCGTTTCATAAAGAATCTTAAAACAGTAGGTGACTAGCTCTAGCTGAGTGACCTAGCTAGGTCAACTACGCTACAGTCGACTAGGGGTGTTTTACAAAGAATCTAATGTCCTCGGTGTGCTTACCGTAGTCGACAGGATATTCATGGCCTCTTTTGGCTGAGAATGATCATTTATCAACTTTAAAAATCAGTCAAAACATAAACAAAGATTGTTTTTGAACTTTATCGATTAGTTTAACTTCAATACAACTTCAAAGTAACAGTAAAACATTAGCTTGTCCTAGACACTGCTGTCGGATGTCTAGCGCTCAAAAACATAAACAAACCCCCAATCGGCTGGGTGAAGTCCCGAGGAGGCTAGACATCATTGACTAGCAGCTGAAAAAAAAACTGTGTAAGCGACCTTTTAGATTCTTCGAGAAACGGGACTTAGTGACGTAAGGACTTTATTACATTGTTAATCAAGCTCTTAGTCTGGTAACCCGACTTAAGTTTTTTTCCGAAATGGGGGCCCGGTCCTGTTTTACCATACTTAAGCCCAAAACAGGTCTAAACTTTTAGAACAAAATTTTAGTCTAGTTTTAAAAAGATAAGCCAATACCAGTCCAATTTAAAGAAATATTACACCTGTTTATAATGTGGAAGATGTGAGTAGTGTTTCAATATTTATTTAAGGAGACTATGAATTTATCTTGAACTGAAGTAGACAATTTTATTTTTAAAAGTTTACACCAATTTTGGGCTATTATTCTTTTATTAAACCAGCCCCTGTCATTTATTTTTGTAAAAAAGTTTTGCCATTCACTCAGACTACCAAATATGTGTTACTCAGATTATGTAGATTGATATTCTGTATTTATATATCTGTATTTTTTCAGGCCACATGGTAAATATCATAATGCAAAAACATGTCAGGAAAGTGTGTCCTGTAGGGTATCATTTTTTTGGCCATGTGAAGGTATATAGCAACTGTTGTAACTTGTTCATTATGTGAAATGGTGGTGATAGTTATCAAAACAACTTAAAGGTACACAAAGGAGGATTTTTTCCCCCAGAATTCATATAAAATTAATTACATTACATTATAAACTGCAGCAGCATATTTATATGATATACATCCTGGGGTAAACAGTATTTTCTCCTGATTTACCAACCTATAATCTTCCTTTCCTGACACTTTAGAACTAGATATGCCATTCATTTCCATTGCCTCAACTTACAGGTATGGCAAGGCTCGAGCCATGACTCCCGCTCTTTTCAAACTATGTCAAGATGACTGTTTACCAAGGTTGGACAGGGAATGGTGGATGTGATATTTTGGGGGGATACTAATTAAGGTCATTTATCTGTAATTTTATGTTTTGAAAGTTTTAATTGAAGCATTCCTCAATCCTACATTTTGTGTCTTTAATTGTGTTTCTTGAGAGATGACCCAGTGATTTTTAAGGGTGTTTAACCCAGGGGGTCAATGCAGGGGAGAATTTAACTTACGGTAGCTACCTATTAATTTGAGACAAAGTTTATTATTTCTCCCAAAATGTTGTTTTTTTTTCTGTCTTACACAGAAAGAATATCCAATATTGTGAGTTATTGCATGATAGGGCCATGCTCAAAACACTTTTGGCATTTTAAGTGAGAGCAACCCCAAGTAGCAAAATTAAGTATCGAGTCTTAAAAACAATTTGGTTATATGATACACATCATTTTATTAGATATTTCTAGGGTTGACCACAAACCATATTGTAAGTTGGGGTGGGCTAGTAGTCTGTTCCAAAGTTATTTTATGGCACCCTGTACAATTTCAAGAGTGCCTACATCAGGTATGCTGTGAAATAGTGGCCTCATTTTTCAGGATGTCACAGTCTGTGACATAAACTTTTCAGCTTTCTGGCCATTCGGATCACCAATTTCTTGAGAATCAAATGCAATTTTCATATTATTCAACTTTCTTTTTGTTAATAATCCTTGAAAATCGTCTTTTCGGTAAGAAACATACCTCGAGATAGAGGAAAGGGGTCAAGATAAGCCTAATTGCAACCTTACATTGTAAACTGGATGCAGCATATTTAACATTACGCACTTAAATAGCAACATTTGTTGCATGCAGGGTTTTTTCCAGGATTGGGCATCAGGCCTTCTAAAATTACCATCTGTAACTTTTTAAAAAATTACTGGGAGTCCAACTTTTCTAAGTGCTGTGAGCGGGGTAGGAGGGTTAAAGATAAAATGAAAATATATATATTTACAAAATTCAAAGGGGGAGGGGATTGAAATAATGATCTCCCCCTGAAGATCTCCTGCAAATGAAGTTCTAAGTTCCTTGAAATTCATGGCACATTACCGTAACACTGTTATTTTTTCTTCCACGTATTTGTAAGCTTATACTCTGTCTTATGACAAAAACAAAATTATGTAAAATAAAACATGTCCTATGCATCCAAAAGCCTTCCTAAATCACCTTCATATCAAGTTCTTTGTTTGGGTTTCAAGCTGCATTTTCCTCCGTTTCTGTATGAGGGACCTATCAGATTGAGAATTCTGGGCAGCACCTCGTTTCCTTGGAAAAATGCTTAGGAACTGAATCCTTTTTCAGCCTCTTTACTTGAGGCATGTCACCTGTGAATGATGTTTGTAACATATTTATAAATGGTTATGCTTTCTGATATAATACATCAAATAATCAAATGTCAGTTTCAGAGATCATGAAAATTGTTATTCTGTTAATTTAAAGTAATCAGGTCCTATGAAGAAGAGGGTTTCATACCGATAAAAACTTGTATTACAATGAAAATTGAATGACATATTTCAAAACAAAAGTTAATTTCTATCATCTGAATCATAAAAGTAAAGAAATATGGCTTAGAGGTAGAATTATGAGGCTGTGTATGACGTTTTGTTGATCCGTTGATAATAATAAAAGATAACATTAAAAAAGCTATATTAAAATTTCTCCACTAACTGGAAAATAACTCGGACCCATAAAAACTATAGTAAGTTGCTGCCTTAAATTATATAAATTTAATAATGTACATCTGTCTGCAACACCAATTTTCAGACCAGTGATTATGAGAGAACAATTTAAGAAAATTAATACTAATAATAGGATTTAAAACTATTTCATATTTCTATCAGTTGAGGAATATGTCCCAAACCATGTCTCATTGAAAGCCATTGGTTTTGGCATAGATAAGATATGATTTGTACCTTAGTCCCACAAGAAATCATGAAATGGCAAAGGTGTTGTGAATTGTTCAATTTTCTACTGTTATTGTAGAAAGCTTTCAATGAAATGAGTTCTGTTATAATGTACACTCAACTCCACAAAGCCCACAGGCTATACACTTGAGCAGCTGGAATGATAATGTCTTAACATCTTACTCCATAGTTTTTCATATAGTTCATATGGTATGGCAACCCAAACATTTTGTCATAATTTAAAAGTCAACTTTCAGTATTTTAGAGAATGAAATATGAACTAGTGAGAGGAACGAGTGTAGATCAAGAAGAATAAAGTTTAAGGCTAAATCACCGTAGTAGGTTTTTTCCACATAACCAGACGATAAGAAGTGCTCACGGCACACAATGTGATGCTTGTGCTGCCACCAAGCACCTCGGAATCCGACCTTTGTGAGTCGCTAATTGCATCAGAATTGACAGTGGCCTAATTTGTGCATTATTATTGTCTGCATTTTGTCTGTACATTTGACAGGTTTGCTGCCCTGTTTGTTCATCTTTTTTTTTTTTTTTTTTTGCTTTTATTTCTATACATTTGACAGCTTTGCTCCATCTTAAGATTAAAATTAAGTTAATCTGTGTTGACATAAAATTTTTTTATTAAAATATATTGTTCATAAATAAGGTGACCTGTCACTGCCTAGCAAAAGGTCTCCGTTTGAGACTGGAACTTTGGTTAGTTGCTAATGCAAGTTTCTGTATTGGCTAAAAACATTCACTTTTCAGTGTAAAATATTGTCATCAGCGTTATATTGATCCATGTTTTACTTCAATATTGGTATAGTGAATACGACAGGCCCCATGGGACTATATTGGTTGGTCTATTTCCTCAAGTTAGTCAAAGAACAGTTTTAATTAACACATACGCAGCCAGAGTTAAACACTTCTGCCTTGAGGACCAATGTAGAGTTTGTATTATTTATTAGCTATGTATGTGGTGTTATAGTTCACAGGGCATAAGATGCTATTTCTCTCCTGAGAACCTGGAACCCATTCATGTTCAAAACCCCTTGGTCTTGGACACAGATTTATTTGTAAGACTTTCTGATTAGAAACATTAAATTTGATTGTTTCTCCACATGTTTAAGCAATGCCATTCCTCCTTTCTTCTTTTAAATATTTTACTTTTTGTATTGATAAGGCAGATATTTTACCCTACTGGTTTCCATTGGGTGTTTATGAGCTGCTTAGCAAGCAAAGATTCTGATGCAAAGTTGGTTGATTCATTGTCAAACTATCAGGGTACGAAACAAGGACCGTCCGACAGCCTGGGGCAGCTCAATTATCGCCCGGGCTGTCTCTTTCCACAAGTTGCCAGTCCGTTGGTCATTTCTGGCCTTTATAATAATGTTTTATCAATATGTATGTTCATATAAGCAGATTTGCTTGAAATAAAACAAAAACATTGAGGCTCCCCCAGAAATCGGCACTCTCAACAAATGAACGTAAACTGAAAGTACATGGTTATTTACTGTTTTTTCGGCATGCCTAGCCCAAAAACCCTTCACCAAGTTATGAAGTGTCTGCTACAAAGTTTCAAAAGTGGCATTTACATGCTTGTTTACAAGGCAAATAATGAACGATGTGTGATCATTCAAGTTCAGAACAACACAATCTTGTCTAATTACGCAGTTTAAGTTTTGATTCTTCTATAATCTGTAATAGTAATTTTCTTAACATTTACATAAGCTATACGATGTCTTTCTCATAAGAAAAATATAAATGAATGACGTCATGATGCATGTGGGTTATACAAGATCGCGTCTAAGAAGTCGCAGTCAGGATTACCCCTGTTGCAGTCTACAATCTACAAGTATTTTGGTGCTTATAATGAATGTGATGCCCCAGCACGTAAGAAAAGAACACGAGAAGATATCAGACAGTCAAATAAAGTGTATGATGACACCAAAAGGAAAAGGTCAGTTGTGCTATCATGGAAAACTGAATTTTCTTGGTTTATTTGTGATGAGACTGACAGTGAAAATGTCAAACTTTTTTGCAAGACCTGTCGAAGTATATTTGCACCATTGGTTTCTAGGAAACAATCACATAGATTTAATAAGTATGCCCATGGAGCATTTGTAATAGGCGAGTCATGCAACCTTAGGCATGACTCACTAGCTAGCTACTCATGCAGTGACCAACGGACACCATCGTTATGCCGAGCAATATTTGTCAGCAAAAAAGGACTCTTCTGGCACAAGTATTGCAGAAAAGTCAATTCAAGCCCTCAATAAGTCAAGTTTGGATAAAGTTCAGCACCTGGTACAAACTGTTCATGCACTTCCCAAGTCTTGACCACTTTCTGATTTTATGTGTCAGTGTGAGCTCGATGAGAAAAAAAAGCATTGACATAGGTCAAACATACAAAAATGTACATAGTGCCAAACAGTTTATGTTATCAGTTGCAGAGGTGGAGCACAATAGGATTGAAGACAAGTTATCTCAGGCTATCTATATTACTGTTATGTCAGATGGAATTAATATTTCTGTTACAAAAAATTGGGTTGTGTCCATGGTGAATCACACTTTTCCAATTTAGGTTTAGAGCATAACGTTTCAGATGCTGGCAGTGAAGAATCTACTTGAATAAATTCACATTGAGACTAAGAGTCCTTGTTTTAATATTGTTCTTGCCTGCAATTGATTTAATCAGGTAATTTCCAAAAAAATCCAGGACTGGCTACTTTTGGTCAGGGCTTGCTACTTTTTAAAGTTGCCAGCCTTGCTGTCCTGCTTCAAATTTATACGAATTTCATACCCTGAAACTATACTTAAGAATTCAGTCACTTGACCTCCATGGGTTCAGTTTGATTATGAATTTACTATACATAGTTATCTGAATTGCCCTTTTTCTAGAATTGTGATTTGAAATAGGAGTGCTGTTTTCTGGTATCTTATGATGAAAATACTGTGTTGTAAGGAAGTGTAAATCAAGCAGAACTGTATCTGAAAACAGCTCCATCAGTCAGTTGACTATAACTATAATACATGTATACACAACCCAGTATCAATGCTCAATGATCAAGCAGATAAATGTTACAGGCAGCTGTTGAAAAAATAGGGGCGATAAAGTGAAATTGTTTGTGATCATTGTTAGAACTCATTTCATTAGGTCCTTTTATGAGCTTGATCAGAGCATTTTGGGGAATTATCTGATATTTTTTTGGGGATTATCTTCCAAAAGTGGAGGCATTAATTATGATAGTTTATTATGGTTAGGTGATTTCTGGTGTGTGAGGGGATTTCCTTAGGTACAATTGCAGCAACAATTGCCAGATTTAAATACCATTAAGAAAATGTTAATAAAACTTAGATCTGAAATAATTAAAGTAAATTATGAGCAATTATTTCCTTGCACTAGGTGACTGGAGTGAAATGGGTCACAAAATGATTTCAAATGTTCCTTCAATTTTAAGTCTATGCATCATACCAACACATTAATATCAGGTTACAAATTGATTGTACATTTTGTTAAAGATTTGAAATCAACTTATCAGTCAAATGCCACTTCACTTGTCTGAATTTGAAACATAATTTTTATTATGTAATATAGCCATCACTCATGTCTGTCGTCACCTTCATCACCATACCCTTGCAGTGCACTTTCAGTGATAACACGATAAGTGAATAACTCTTTGAACTTTTGTCTTCAAACTTGTTGAAAATTCATTAAGGTGGAGTTCGAAAAAAAAAAAAAAGCATGATAAGGCCATTTTTTTCAATAGTAATGCTTTTTTAAAAACTTTATTCAGCAGACATGTAACACTGACAGCACATTTGAAGGAAAACCCATAGGCCTATTGTCTTGAAACTCACAGGAGTGATCAATCTTACTAAAATACAAGTTGAGTTCGAAAATCACCTTGATCAGACCTTAACAAAACATAACAAAACAAAAGTTATGCATTTTTTTCCCTTTTTTCTTACTTTATCCACCATTACTTTTCATACTTTATCCAACATTATACAGATCACATATGTTGTATTTTGCTTTAAAACTTGTAAGACTGATTCATAGGACTAATATACAGATCAGGTTGGAAAATAAGCTTGATCAGTTCAGTTTTGATGAAGTTATGTCCCTTATTGTATATTATTAAGTGTGTTTTTTACTCAGATTCAATTCTTATGAAGATTCATTCCTTTACTATGTTCAGAATCTCAGAATGTAGCATTTGGATGTTTAAAATTGTTCTGCTGATATTTTTCCCATCTTAACAATTTTCTTAGTTGATTGAATAAAAATGACAGTAAATTGATTGTTTTGTTGTATGTAAAAAATGGTTGAAAATGAAACTAAACATTTCTTCATATCCATGTTACCTGCAGTGCATAATTAAATATTGGTGGTGATTATGCTGTTATGTATTTTTTAATCTAAATTCAAAATTGAAGAAAACACTTTTTTGGTTATAAACGCCATAGTGGCCATTAAAGGAGAACAATGTAACTTACTCTTCTCAAACTTACAGGAAAGAAACATAAGACTAAAATACAGCTTCAGTTGGAAAATTAGTCTGAATGGATTATTTTTCTGGAAGTTTTACAGTTTTTTCATGAAAATATACATTTTCACATATTGGCATTTTCAAGGTGTTACTTTGAAGACCTTTGCTGTTCACATTTTCTGAACATCCATGATACTTCTGTTATTATTAAAAGTTGCTGGTGATNTATTCTCAGAATATTAAAGCATTTTGAACACTTCACAGAGGTGTTTAAAAAATGATGCAAAGATATGCTTAATACTACCAAATCTATTAAAGGTCATTTCGGACGATGCCATTTTGTCTACTTCGACTCACACGGCCAAACTGTCAGGTGGCCTGTCCGACCTTCAGCCCACCAAATATACCTCGACGCCCTTGTCGACCCTTTTTTCGCTACAGAAAACCTGGTAGCCTACATGTATGTGCTGCTTTGTACAGACTGTCACTGAAATTTTTCGGGCGATAATCGCTGGTGGCCACCAGCCTTTCGCACAATTGTAAAAAGGTGATATCTCCATACCCAATATCAATGGCATACCAATCCAAAACGACGGCACCCATTCTCTTCATGACTTTAATTGTCGTGTAATTTGAAAGTAATCCTAGAGATGAATTTGACGGCAAAGCGGCCACATTTCCACGTGGCGATAATATGCATGCGCAGAAGGCTCATTTCCTGGCAAATTCAATAACGACGTTTGCGCCAACAGACTTCGTTGGGGGCTGGGGGGGGGATTTTTTTTTTTTTCGGAGAACGGGCGAAAATCGGTGCGCGCGCAGGATGTCATCCATAAAAATAAAAAAGTGTGGCCTAATGGCTTCTTTTTCTGGAAGTTATACATTTTTATAAAATTTTCATTTTTCACATATTGGCATTTTCAATGTGTGACTTAAAACTCCCACGGGCACGAAGCCTAGTAGATACTTAAAAAGTAGTGGTAATTATTCCATTATGTGATAATTGTGCATATATAGTCCAGAAGAAACACAATCTGAAGAAAAATGAAAATTGTAAAGTGTGTTTTGCCTTATTATTTAAATCTCCTTTAACACATTAAAACTCTTTTAAGTGGTAAGATATCCAATTGCAGTTCAGCCTCTATATTTAGATTCTGTTTCATTGTGGAATTTCATCAAAGGGGTTTATCTGTGCAATCTATGATTACCTGATTATAGTGAAATGCATCAGATGGCTCTGAACAACCAAATACTTAATTTCGTCCTTTTCTGCCCTGATACTCACAAAGTCGACCAAGCAGTGATAAATCTACCAGATAACTTTAAGGAAATTACTTATCAGTAAATTAACATTTATGTATTGGTTGAGCACCTATCTTTTACAACCTTCTTGAGTGGTTATTCCAAATAAGGGTTTGGTTACCCCCTGCAGAGCACTTCCGATGCAACAGGTGAAGCAATTGTCTACTTAGATCAGGACCTCTCATTCTCATTTCCTGTTTGTTTAGGAGAAACACAGTGCAGCTAAAACACTCCCTAACAAGGGGAAAAAATTTGTATAGTAAATGAGTTCTAAAGCCATTACATGTGAAGTGAAATTAGCCAATTGGCACCACCTTCCAACCATTAGGAAAAAGGAGAAAATTCAATTTTCTTAACTGAAAATCTTGGGTCTGATCAAGCAAAGCAAACAGTAGAAATTGACGTCACTCCCTCCTTGGTGTTGATTTCAACCATGTGAAATGAATGTGAAACAAATCTCACCAGGGGTAGCTGCTGTTCAGACATAAATTCTCAATCAATTAACCTGCCATGTGGCCACCGGATCTAGGTCCTCAGCAATTCTGAGCATTTCAACTATTTCAATTGCTGGGGCATGCCCCGTCTATGTAGCTATGCGGTCTGTGGGGTATAAATAGGGCTGGATTCATTGACTGAACTTCATTCATGCTCTTGAGCTTGGACAATTGAGATAGACTAAGTCTGGTGTTACTTCTGTTTTTCTATGCTTAAAAAATAGCTGATAACTGTGCTGACTTCATTTAAAGCCAAGAGTTATAATAGTTGATATTCTACGTAGGGGAGAAACCTTCGCCATGTTTTACTGTGCTGTAATCTTCACCATCTTGGCTAGCCTGGCTGCATTTTACCCTGTGGTATCTGGGCATAGCCTTGGTGGACACCGAATGGACAAAAGTATGTATCTAAAGCTAACTGACCGATGGTATCGTTGGCCAGAGAAGTGCCCATTCTCCAAGGACTCTGGCTGCTCTTGCTTAGGAAGCAACCGCCAGAAGAAAGTTGTGTGTGAGGGTAAGGGTGTCACCACCCTCCCTAGCTTTACCCACCTGCCTGCCCTGAGTGAACTAGTTCTTAAGAACACTGCTCTTAAGGGGCTGACAAAATCCACTTTTACCCATGTCCGTGCCCATGGTGTCACAATTGAAGGTGGTGATCTTGGAAATCGCATCCAGTTGGGAGCATTAGATGGACTTAAATATAGTTTGAGAACTCTGACCATCAAGAATGCTGCACTCACAACCCTTCCTCAGGGTCTGTTCAGGAAACTGAGACGTCTACGCCGCATGAAAATTGAAGGTAACCCTGACCTTAAAATCCTCCCAGCTGGTATTTTCAGTGGTCTGAGAAACCTGCAGTATCTCTTCTTGGACAACAATGGTCTTCGCACCCTCCCTCAGGATATTTTTTCCAGAATGTCCAAACTCAATGTATTATCTATTGTTCGAAATAGATTGAGGAGACTATCTGACAACACATTCAGTGGACTGTCTCGCCTGGAGTCATTATTTTTAGATGGGAATGGACTGACCACTGTTCCTTCTGGACTGCTGAGAGCACTGCACGGACTGGTCATTGTATCCTTTAAAAACAACAAGATAGCTAAAGTTGAGAGCAAGGCATTTGAGGGACCTCTAATGCTTCAGTGGCTGGACTTATCTGATAACCACTTGACCACTGTAAGCCCTTGTATGTTCTCTGGACTGGACTCTGGGGTTGGTGTGAACCTTGAAAACAATGCAATCACTTGCAGCTGTGCATTGCAGTGGTGGAGGGATGTCAGGAACGTGTTCCCTATGGGTGTGTGCCACGGACCTGGTGGTGCTGCAGGGAAAGAATTGATAGAGTTCTCTAATCCTGCTTGTGAACTGATAATGGAGTCCACAGAGTTGCTCTGTTGATAGTCTGCAGAATGATTCCGTATAATACACTGTAAATACTGTACATACTGTGTAAATAGCAAAGTTTGTACAAATTAATGTGAAAAAGACAATTGTTAATTTATTTGTGAAGAATAATTTGTGTACATATCTTATAATATGTCTCTATTTTATTTTGTTCTTTATGTGATATCAGGGTTAAACGGGACATTTTTCAGGTTAAGGCTGAATAACTACTGCATTTATGTGTCATGTTTAAAACTACATCTTATTGCACTTAAAGAATGATTGGATTTGATGGTGCACATCACATGAGATCACATTAAATTTTTTCTTGGTCAGTTAACAGTTATTTCCGTTTATGACTTCAACATGTTGTGTGCCAGCTAGTTACACAGCATGTGAAGTGGTTAACTAAAGTTTGTCAAATGAGCAGTAGCAACCAACAACATTAAGAGGAGACTTTCCATAGTTAAACATACAATTGTCTGTTTAATAGACAGTGAACAGAGCCCTCACTTTGATCTAAGAGCAAAAAGTAATTTAGCTGAAAAAGAGAGGTTGATTTTCAAATTCTGCTGACATCCCTGTCACATGTTAGTCAAGTTTTATCTTCAAACAGCATTATAAGTGGACTTTATATTCTGTCTACTACTCTGCCCTGTGGTAATTTGTATCATATATATATATATATATATAAGGGACCAAAGTGGGAAATGGTACCCCACTTGGTGAATACTTGTGAGTGCAATTTTCCTTTTTTTACTTGTAAAATGTGTGCAATTTTTGACCTGAACATACTATGTTAACTTGATAGGAAAATTGAGGAAGTGCGTAAGTAAAAACTATTTAAAATTTGATGAAATAATGTGCATTACTTCCAGTTGCCTTGAATGTGTTAACCAAATGCCATTGGAAAAGATTGGAAGATTTCCAAATAATTTGTACCACAGTTGAAGAGGTGAACATTTTATGGGAAAACACAGCTGAAATTAGACCTTGCAAAGAATGTTGTGTAATCATTACCAAAATATCTCAGAGATTGTTGAATGTTAACTGCATTTTAAGTCATAGAACAGCATTGAGGTATATTATCAGCCAGCCAGGTACAGAAAACATATTAAGGAAAATTATGTTTTTAAGCCCACATGGCTAAAATCTGTCTTTGGTATTAATCCAAATGAAGTGTGTAAATATTTTAAGTTATGACTCGTTCCTGTTGGAATGAAAAATTGTATTTTAACCTTGTTGTTTTTTTCACTGAAGGTATAGAATGTGTTGAATAAATTGTTTTTTACAGAATTTAAGACAATGCGTTTTGTTATTATTGGATAAAAATTGAATGTGAATATTTGGATGTGTCACTGGGGTAGTAATATCAGCTCTGAGTGGAAAGGGAAGGCTAAGATATATTATAGTTGTACTTGAGTCTGCATGCACTTGGATTTTAAGCAGGGTAAAGGTATGAATAATAATGTAGTTGAATGAGGTGAAGGTCATTTGATAAACAGGCACTATATGTGAATATATATTTACCAGTAGATCTCTGTGTCAGTCTGTCATCACTTGTCATCTTCTGTTAGCCTTGATTAAACAAACTTTATTCATTTATTTCATATTGCATATTTCTTCCAAGAACTTTTGGGTATAATGTATATGACTTTTAGTTTTATCTGGTTTATATTGCATGTAGGAAGGAGTGAATTAAAGAATATTTAGGATTATAAGACTATCTCCCCCCCCCCCCCCGATTATTCCCCTTAAAGTAATATATATATATACATACATACAAGTGTTAAGTAATAAGTGCAAAGTTAAAAAAATTCATTCATTTTTTTAAATATTTTAATGTGATAATGCTACACCATCATTAAATAAATTATCATATAACAAATTCTTTTTTCATTGAGAACAAGTACAGAAAGTTTTATTAAGTATCTAATCAAAGTATAACCACCTATTCTCCAGGTAAAGATGGGGTAAGCTACTGAACAAGTAAACATATTTTATGACTATTTTTTAGTGTGGTGGGTAGTGGGTTGGTGGGTGTGGGTAGGTGGGTGGTGGGTAGTGGGTTGGTGGGTGTGGGTAGGTGGGTGGTGGGTAGTGGGTTGGTGGGTGTGGGTAGGTGGGTGGTGGGTAGTGGGTTGGTGGGTGTGGGTAGGTGGGTGGTGGGTAGTGGGTTGGTGGGTGTGGGTAGGTGGGTGGTGGGTAGTGGGTTGGTGGGTAGTGGGTTGGTGGGTGGTGGGTAGGTGGGTGGTGGGTAGTGGGTTGGTGGGTGTGGGTCAAGCAGTTAAAAGTGACAGATAATCAAAGGGCTACCTGGATAAATGAGATGCACCTTGTTTCAAAGTGAGCAACTTGATTAAGGGGACAGTGATGAACCAATTAAAAGTACAGTTAATTGATGAAAGGATTACCTAGGTGAGTGACATCATCTGTTTACCCACCATAACCAGGAGATAAACTTCGATCAGATTTTTGATAAGATATTTTGTACTTGTACTCCGTGGAAATAATTTGTGAAATGAAATTAATATTCTCTATCCTTGAATTGCATAATCACATTAAGAAATATTTATAAAATGGAGTGTGACAATCTTATTTGGGAACATAATGGCATGGTGCAGACAGCTTGATCTAAATTCCACAGAAAACTACCTCTATTAGGCCAAAAATGACCACAAAATTGCAAATTGATGGCTATCAAAACCCTAGAAATAATTTCTGTGTATTATTAAAAACTTCATAATTCTTCCCATATAGACAGTAGTCCCTTTTCTACTAACTACTAGACTATAGAGAGATAATTTGCTCGCAACTGAAACCCAGGCAATAGTAATTTGTACAACTGTATTTTCAGAAATTTGCCCAAAGCTTGCCCTAGAAATATAGTTTGTTCATTTTTATAGTTCAGCCAATGGATCATTTTAAAAGATTCATTGGTAGCTCTCGTCTGAAGCTTAAAAAAAGCTTTGGATTGCTTAGAATGCAACTCTTGCAGGTTTCACCCCCTGTCAGAGGCCTTCCTGGTCAGTTTTTTCCAAGATTTTCTAAATTCCCTAAACCAAAGTTATTGGATTATTTATTTTATTTTGCATAGACATATTTGAGACGTGCCCAATACCTATAAAAACGTTTTTGTTTCAGTTTAAGTTTGTAAGGATTCTTTATTTTTGGTGAAAAGACAGGTAGATGTAAAAATCAGCATGGTTAGTTAATTGTTACCAAAGTTGGTTCACTTGTGTTTTACAATCCTGTTGTCTGTTGTTGTCTTAAACTCAATATATTGTGCTATGTAAGGAGTTGTTACATGTTAGAATTGTATAGGAATTGTATCTTAATTTGTTTTACGGGAAGTAGTAACTTTTTTCATTTTGCAAATTAAAAATTCTAATCAGGAGCTGATCCTGTACACATTGTTGAGATTGAAAACTTGTTTCAGATGGCAAGTTGCAAAACGGTAATGTTTTGAAAGGCAGGTATACGTGTTCATGATGTTGACAAACAATAGAATGGCTGAATTTTTTTTTATTTGATATTTACTGGAATGTGCTAATTTATGTTTAAATGGAGCAGTGGGACCATTTGCCAGTTTTGCTCTAGTTTCTTGTACTATTTTGGTATAACTTGTGACTTGTATACAGTACATTTATACCAAAGGACAACAATAAGTGTAGAAGCTTCTTTTGTCCATAGATGCTGAATGCTAGTTGTTACTTGAAAATGTAAAACTTATCATGTACAGATCCACGTTATACAAAGTTACCAACTTGATAATGTATTCTGAAGCCCTATTGATATTTTGACCAGAAGGACACTCAAATGACACAAGTGATCTGAAAATTCATATGTTTTAGAGATTGTTTATAAAACATTATTCAAGCATATTAGTACTTTACTGAATAACTGAGGTGTTCTTTCACTGAATACAGCGACCAGGCTGACATGTGCATTTTCTGTCAGTTTGGAACACTGTGGTCAAAACAAAAACTTGTGTTTCTTTTTTTGGCCAGTATATACATATCTTGTGTGAGAACTAAGGAATTACAGAGTGCTTTTTCACTCCAGCTATGTTGTTTTAGAAAATGGTTCATGAAATACTCTCGAATTTTGTAAGTCAAGTTGTATGCTTGTTAAATTATTGTACCTCCAGCGTTAGCGCTGGCGGTACACATGGTTTCAGTCCCGTCCGGATCGTTCCGCCGGCTCCGCCGGACGGCTACCATTACCGCTTCTCCTCCTAGACGGTAAGGGCCCCCATACCCATCTCATGGATTTAGGTCACCTATAATCTCAACTCGTTCCACGTAAAATTTGGGCTTTCGGTATTGGGGTCTGGGNTCAAAAATTTCATTCATTTTTTTAAATATTTTAATGTGATAATGCTACACCATCATTAAATAAATTATCATATAACAAATTCTTTTTTCATTGAGAACAAGTACAGAAAGTTTTATTAAGTATCTAATCAAAGTATAACCACCTATTCTCCAGGTAAAGATGGGGTAAACTACTGAACAAGTAAACATATTTTATGACTATTTTTTAGTGTGGTGGGTAGTGGGTTGGTGGGTGTGGGTAGTGGGTTGGTGGGTGTGGGTAGTGGGTAGGTGGGTGGTGGGTAGTGGGTTGGTGGGTGTGGGTCAAGCAGTTAAAAGTGACAGATAATCAAAGGGCTACCTGGATAAATGAGATGCACCTTGATTCAAAGTGAGCAACTTTGATTAAGGGGACAGCGATGAACCAATTAAAAGTACAGTTAATTGATGAAAGGATTACCTAGATGAGTGACATCATCTGTTAACCCACCATAACCAGGAGATAAACTTCGATCAGATTTTTGATAAAATATTTTGTACTTGTACTCCGTGGAAATAATTTGTGAAATGAAATTAATATTCTCTATCCTTGAATTGCATAATCACATTAAGAAATATTTATAAAATGGAGTGTGACAATCTTATTTGGGAACATAATGGCATGGTGCAGACAGCTTGATCTAAATTCCACAGAAAACTACCTCTATTAGGCCAAAAATGACCACAAAATTGCAAATTAATGGCTATCAAAACCCTTGAAATAATTTCTGTGTATTATTAAAAACTTCATAATTCTTCCCATATAGACAGTAGTCCCTTTTCTACTAACTACTAGACTATAGAGAGATAATATGCTCGCAACTGAAACCCAGGCAATAGTAATTTGTACAACTGTATTTTCAGAAATTTGCCCAAAGCTTGCCCTAGAAATACAGTTTGTACATTTTTATAGTTCAGCCAATGGATCATTTTAAAAGATTCATTGGTAGCTCTCGTCTGAAGCTTAAAAAAAGCTTTGTATTGCTTAGAATGCAACTCTTGCAGGTTTCACCCCCTGTCAGAGGCCTTCCTGGTCAGTTTTTTCCAAGATTTTCAAAATTCCCTAAACCAAAGTTATTGGATTTTTATTTTTTTTTTATTTTGCATAGACATATTTGAGACGTGCCCAATACATATAAAAACATTTTTGTTTCAGTTTAAGTTTGTAAGGATTCTTTATTTTTGGTGAAAAGACAGGTAGAGGTAAAAATCAGCATGGTTAGTTAATTGTTACCAAAGTTGGTTCACTTGTGTTTTACAATCCTGTTGTCTGTTGTTGTCTTAAACTCAATATATTGTGCTATGTAAGGAGTTGTTACATGTTAGAATTGTATAGGAATTGTATCTTAATTTGTTTTACGGGAAGTAGTAAGTTTTTTCATTTTGCAAATTAAAAATTCTAATCAGGAGCTGATCCTGTACACATTGTTGAGATTGAAAACTTGTTTCAGATGGCAAGCTGCAAAACGGTAATGTTTTGAAAGGCAGGTATATGTGTTCATGATGTTGACAAACAATAGAATGGCTGAATTTTTTTTTTATTATATATTTACTGGAATGTGCTAATTTATGTTTAAATGGAGCAGTGGGACCATTTGCCAGTTTTGCTCTAGTTTCTTATACTATTTTGGTATAACTTGTGACTTGTATACAGTACATTTATACCAAAGGACAACAATAAGTGTAGAAGCTTCTTTTGTCCATAGATGCTGAATGCTAGTTGTTACTTGAAAATGTAAAACTTATCATGTACAGATCCACGTTATACAAAGTTACCAACTTGATAATGTATTCTGAAGCCCTATTGACATTTTGACCAGAAGGACACTCAAATGACACAAGTGATCTGAAAATTCATATGTTTTAGAGATTGTTTATAAAACATTATTCAAGCATATT